TATATATATATATATGGAAATCCGGAAAAATCTAAAACTATAATTCTTTTTTATTATTTAGCTCCAATTTTTTTTCATTTTGGCCATTTTTTTATCATTTTATCATGTTACGTGTTGAGGTGGCATGTCAAAGTGGAAAGAAGATTGATGTGAGAACCAAACAATTTGCTAACATGGGCTGGCATGACTTGCCACGATAGCGTGTGCGTTTATTTGAAAAAGATAAAATTACATAAACGAACCTCGTGGTTGACAAAATCGACCAATTATGGTCCTTATGACAAATTCTTTACACAGATGGTCCCTATGGTTTCAAAATCTTGCAAAGACGGTCCTTTTGACTAACGGTGTTAACTTTTTCAGTTAAATCCTATATGAAATGACATATTTGTCCTTACTGCATAGGGACGCTTTATGTACTTTGTTCCTACCACAGGGACCATTTATGTAATTTTCTCTATGGTTTATTATTGTTTTATTTAATTTAAGTATATATTTAACGTTTTATTGGACTTTTTTTTTTGTTTTTTGACGTTATGTTCGAATACATTTTTCAACATTTAGTATGTTTATATTTGTTAAAGGATTGCATGGCTATTGTAATTATAATCCATAACTTAATTCACTTTCAATCATGTTTTCATTTTTCATTTTTCTTTTATCAGGTTATATAATTATTATTTTTTATGTCAAATATTTAACTATATAAGGTTGTATAATTATTATATTTGTAAACTTTTTTATAAATATTTTTTATAAAAAAATGTAAAATGTTTGTTAAACGTGAATATGATTAATATAGATTACGTAGACATAGGCTAAGCTAAGACCGCCTCACAACTTTGCCGAGAACGACCAAATCATTTCACATTGGATTTAAATGTAATGTTTTCGAGCTATTTTTTTTGTTTTTAAACATTTTGTGCATTTTTAAGTTATACAGATTTCGATTAGTCTATATATAACGTGATATCCATTTCGAATTCCGATTATCATATGTATTCCAATTAGCCTATCTATATTAATCTTATTCAAGTTTAACAAACCTTTTTACACTTTTTTTTACAAAAAACGTTTATACAAAACTTTACAAAATAATACTCATACAACATTATATGTTTTATATAGTTAAATATATGAATTAAAAATAATAAGTATATAACCTTACATATATTAAAATAAAAAGGAAAAAAAACATGATTGTAAGTGAAGTAAGTTACGAATTATGATTACAGTGACTATAAATTCTTCAAAATATTTAAAAAAAATCTATTAAAAAATTAAGAAATATGTTAGAACAAAACGTAAGAGAATTAGAAAAAATTATTCCAATAGAACATCATAAAACATCAATAAATATATTTGAAAAAACGTAAAAAAAAATAAGAAAAAAAATATTTGAACAAAATGTTAAAATATTAGCGAAAAAAATATAAAAGAAAAACATTAAACAATATATTCAAACAAAACCTTAAAAAATCTAAATCATAAAATATATAAATAAATTAAGTAAAAAAATAATAAATAATAGAGAAAATTACATAAATGGTCCCTATGGCAGGAACAAATTACAAAAATGGTCCCTATTCTCGGAGGATAAATATATCATTTCACATGGAACTTAACTGAAAAAGTTAATGCCGTTAGCCCAAAGGACCATCTCTGCAAGATTTAGAAAGCACAGGGACCATCTGTGTAAAGAATTCGTCATAAGGACCATAATTGGTTGATTTTGTCAACCCCGAGGACCATTTATGTAATTTTGTCATATATAAATGAATAAATAAATAATAAACCCTAAAACACGAAGATGAATTTTTATATTTTATATTAGCCCTAAATCCATAATAATTTATCAGAGTATAAGTGCAAGAAGTTAAATGTTATAAATTCTAGAAATCGGGGGTTAAAGTGTAATTTTCGGAGTAGTTATGAATAGATTTTTGGATGCTAGGGGCTGTTTTGTAATTTTGTTGACTTGAATTGAAAGGATTTTTGGAACCAGGGGGCTATAGAGTAAATTATGGACTTAATTTGAAAAAGAATGGGGGACAAGGGACAAAAAGTGTAAAAATGGAATTAAGTTTGATTGGTGGAGGCGGGACTATATCCCGACACCCCCTCCCTTTCCTCCCGTTTTCATACTCAAAACCTAACCCTAAATCCCTTCTTCAGCCGCCACGCTTATCCCTCCAACATCCAGTCGTTGTCGCCATCGTGAACCGCCGAGCACCCTACCGTTGCACCCGATGCGAACGAAGACGAGAACCGCGAGACGACGTCGTGTCAGTCGGGGAGATCAGAAGAACGAAGTCGTGTCTGTCGTTTCTACTATTCTCGGTTAGAGGTCGCACAAACCTATCCCTTCTCTGCCTCTTTTCTGTTGATACGTTGCCGCCACCGCTGCTCCATGCGACTGTCATTTTGCGGCAACCTCCGACAGCCATCCTCCTCCAAGAGCATGGATTAAGGATGTGTTATGTGTGCTTTTGATTGTGTGTGTGCGTGTCTCTATGTATGTCGCCAATAGGAGTGTGTGCGTGTGTGTTTTGGTTGGCCGGAAAAGGAGAAGAACCACCATGGCAGCCAACGATGGTGGCTATCGCCTTACTGCCATTCTGTGCCGCCACCAGCCGCCGTGTGAGGTGTCTTTGTGTGTGTAATATTATGTGTACATGTGTTTTCGGTGTCATTGTTGTTGTGGGAGTTGTTTGTTTGGATTCTAACTCGAAACCGCCACCACCGTTGTGAGTGGGTCGCTGCCGCCACAGACCGCCGCCGACCACCACTGCCTGAGGTGGCAGTGGGTGGTGCCCGACTTATTACACATTAAGTTGACCTAAGCATCTAACTTTAGTCCAAGTGGAAAATGTTTGGGGTTGTAAATCCTAATTAGGGTTTAGAAAACGCTAATGTCAAGAAAGCCCTAGTTTTGGAGTTTGGTCGGGACCCGCATTAAAACTGTTAATTGAATTTTAAATTATACTCGGTATTGGCCTATGAGTAACTTAATGCATTATTTGACTTAATAAATTAATTCCTTAAGCGGTTAAGTATAGAACACTAGCCCTAGTTATGATTTTATGTGGAAAACCCTAGAATCGGGGAGCTCTATTTTGGACAATGATCGGGTGTATATTTGGGCTATTGCTTGGATTATTATTATTATTATTATTATACCCGAGAATGACTAAGTCAAACCTTAACCAATCCTACCCTTACATGATTAATTTCTTAATGGGTTAAGTGTCCTTACTTAACCCTAATCGTCATTTTATGTGGAACCCTAATCATCATTTCATGTGAGGTAGTCACTATTGCAATTGACTATGACTTGTGATCGGGTATTGACTCAAGTATCATCCTGTAGGTGATTGGAAGGGAGTTGAAGATGGTAGAGTTATTCATTATTACGGTGGTTTCTTACACACATATCAAGGTGAGTTTCGCCTCATTGTATCGTGGGTCGAAGGCACGAATGCCGACCCACTAGTTTCGGTTAATAGTTCGTAGATGGATACCTTAGGGACTATATATAGTCATGTAGGATAGACTGAGGACTCTTGATCTAGGCTCTCTTACCTGTTCCTTGTTTGGTTGTGATTCTAGAGTGGGATCACCTGCCTTGGTGGCTATCTCACCTTTGGTTATATACGGTCATGCATTTCTTGGATTATTGCTTTTTAGTATGATGCTATGTTGTAGTGATCTACTAGATCTGTATCTTGGTGTCGAGTATGTTGTTATGTTGTAGTGATCTGTTGGATCTATATTCTGATATAGAGTATGCTGCTATGTTGTAGTGATCTGTTAGATATCTTTCTTGGTGTCGAGTATGTAGTTATGCTTTAGTGATCTGTTAGATCAGTATCCTGGTATGTAGGATGTTGCTATGCTATAGTGTATTGTTGGATATGTATGTTATCTGTACTTACTGGTTATCATCTGGTGGAGTACCCTAGGGACTGTTTGTATTCATGTAGGATAGCCTGATAACGCTTGGTCTACGCTTTCTTGTCTGTTCCTTGTTTGGTTGTGGCTCTAGAGTAGGATCATCGGTTCGGGTGGCTATGTCACCTCTGGTTACTTATGGTGATGCATTCTATGGAGGTTAGTTGGTAGCAGGACTGTATGTTGTGAGAGGACTAGTACGTAGTAGTGAGCTGAATGATTGATGTTGCCAGTATTATATGCCTACTTGATCCTTGATTGTTCACATGTCGATATGTTGTGCTTGGTTTGGGTTGAGGCGGTCATGCTTTATGTTGTAGGCCAAGATACCTGGTGCGGGACGGCTGTAAGCCATAAGCATGGAGGCTCGGGATGAGCGGTTGGGTTGAGGCAGCAAGGCCAATTAACCCGATATAGTTGGGCATTCCAGTCTGATGGTTGACTGGGCCTGGGGTATTCTAACGCGATGGTTGAT